TCACACAACATCCGCATGCGATCAAGCCGGTATTCAGTCAGTCAATCAATCAATCGACCGATCAGTCAATCTGGCCACAGGCGTGTATCACAAACACACCAGTCAGTTGTAGGCCACAAAACTGGGAAAATCCAATGAAAAGCTAGAATGATACAGTATCCATTTGTTTCGGGGTCAGATTCACTTTGAGTTTTTTGTGCTGCTTTACCACTGTTTATATAGATTAGGGTCTCGAGATCAAAGATATTTGTTACTCATAACACTGTTTCCAAAACCCGATAAATGTGCACTAGTGCTGAACCCTTGAAACTCTTCTCATGATTGTCAGGTCATTTGCTCCATACTCCGGTGATCAATAACAATCCCGGTTAGTGTATTTGGGCTCAATTGCATTAAAATCATCATAATCAAAATACTAGTTATGAATTCAATACGTATAGTCATAAAGGATTCGATCCCCGAGTTGATTAGGCCTCAGTCCCTTTTTGACGACTCTAGTTCGTTTTATTCCTTATTTAGTAGCTCAATGGTTATGAGAAAGCATTGATTTCTCAAATCGCCCTAATTTGCAGGGACCCCACAAGGGAGGTGAGGGATCATGCAACTAGTCGGGCATTCCTATAGGTTACCTCAGTCAGTCCTCAGAGTCTTGTTTTAGGCTAGTTCAAGGGCTACTCGTTTGCAACATTCCAGTAAAACCTTGCGATAAATGATTTATTTAAAATGAACCCTTTCCGGTTCATTTTTAAGAAGTGCCATGACTATTTCACTTGATATCCTATCTCTAACCCGCGACATACAATACCTATTTTTATTCCTGATCTCTTTGAGAACGACAAATTTGTGTGCGGTAGGAGAGGTAGACTTTAATAAAGCGCACTGTTGCTTCTGCGTTCCAATCGAGACCTCTGGGGCGAATCTTCGAGTAGGGAGTCACGACTCTTGCCACTGATCTGCACTATCGATTATCTTCACCTGAATCCAATGGTCATATCAATGTAGATTGAAGCACATCACATGGCTTATTCGAATTTTCCGGGCATTTGCCACAGTTCTCGATCATTTTGTGTCCTGAGCTTAAGGATTCACGCCTTGAAAACATTTTTCAGTGCCCCGAGAACAGGATGTACATGATGATCCTAGGCTACGGGATGACGCATACCACGGAGCGTCACGTTACAGGTTTCGGACAAGTATGATCAATCAAGCTTCCCGGGTGACGTCAGCAAAGCGCGTACGTGTCACAGCTTCTGGACTACAAACAATAGGACGGTTGTACCAGTCAATCAGAAACCCTGCGGCCCAGGCAGAAGCTGAACAACGCCAGAAATACTAACACGCGATTGGCAGAGGCTTGAGTGGCCAATGAACTTGTTTCGTACATATTAATTAATCCACCTGATTTCTTTCAATAAACGAACCACTACTCCTGTGGCCTTTTCCTGGCGTCTCGGTTATGTGGGATATTGCGTGCAAGTGCCAGTGTGATCCAGTGCTTACGTGACGTCCGTGACTGCTAATGAATGACTCGTATTTCGTGATCACTACAATGTACCTGCCGTGTTTGTCATAGAATCCAAATGCTTAGGGCTTAGTGACCATGTAAATCTTTCCATAATATTTGCATTTCTATTCTGTTCATGAAATTAACCACGCGGAACCAAAAATCCGACAGATAATGTTAATAAACTTTATCCATCTAGACGTTCGAATTCCAGAACAACGAATGTACGACGGTAATTGACGATAGAATAATTTCAAACTCGCCTCCTCCAAATGCACACACAGGCACACAGACAAGCGTGTAACATCTTGGAATGGTTTGAGGACGGTTACATCAACCAAGTTAGATGATTGTGCATTAAAGTGATGAACCAACTGGTTTACATACAGAACTCCTACAGTGTCTGAGTGCGAGTCTTTTGTTATGGAATCACTGTACAATGCACCCACAGTGTAGAACATGGTGTGAGGACTCAATATCACGTGATAGGCTGCATCAACGTCCACGAAAGTTGCGTATGCTATTCGGACATCACGTAGTGTGATTTGCTCCTACCGGTCCAGGAATAAGTTCACCCTCTCTTTCTCTGCACCTGTATTCCCTTGACATATGGGCATGTTGAGAAAGGTATGTTGAAGAAAGGTGGAACCCCCCACTATCCCGAACATAGATGTAGGTAATACACTCATGGCGTTAGCCTCTTCTAGTTGCATTTGTTTCCTCACTACGGATGTCGTTTATGAATGACGCAACCCCGTAATAATAAACCGCTATTGTGATTTTGTTTCAATTCACATTTCGAACACTAGAGTTTGACTAACTGGAAAATGCACTTCTGTTCGTGAAGTACCGTTGAAGACTTGTGTGCCCCGTCGAGTTGAATTCTGTATAGGGTTTCATTAGTTAGCTTACTCATATTTTCTGTGCTAAAACCGCAAATCTTCATTAATTTTCTCTCATGTTCAGTAACTTATTGATTTATTTCTAGTACCTACGTAGGGAGTTCATTTGGTAATCTTGAAGAATATTATATAAACTGCATAATAAATCGTCCATTGGTAATTATGTGGTCTAACCAGAATGCAACTGATCTATCAAAATTCGCTTTATTTGGTTGGGTATGCTTTTAGTTTATTCATTGAATTTTCATTCTATGCATTGTTTCATTGATTCGAACAAATTTGTGTGAATCGCTTCTGGGATTCGAACAGTTTGGGGGGGGGGGGAGGAGAACTGGTCCATAAACCGCGAGGGAAAAGTTAGGAATCAAAAGCTTTCCAACATTATTATTTGACCAGTTGGTGGTTTGCGTAACCTTATGTCAGAAAATCGTCTGGGTCGATTGCTCGGTAACGTAATCATTTCTGATATTACCACTTCCATTCACCCACGGTTGTCTTCCAGTTTAAGTCACCTTCGATTTATTTCTTTTTTTCTGTGAAATATTAAATTTCCCAGGACGCAGAGGATCACCCATCTCCCTCTGTCCAAAAAAGTCATCCATTCAGCTTACATTGATGCTTTTAAATGCGGTAACAACAATTATATAAAAAGGTTAATTCCTAATGGAACCGGAAAACATTAATCTGTCCGCAAAACCTTAACTAGCATTTGATAGAAACCACACCCACTCTATATCCCCCTCCACGGCCACCATGAAAAACGCCTTCCGTTGACCTTCGCGATCTTAAAGGGCTCTAGTAGCTGGGCTCATGGATGAAATATGGGTGCAGGTACTGTGTTGATTAATGAGTTGCCAAAAGCGGACATTCGACGTTGTTGTTTGGATCACCGGTATTTCCCGTACATTGATTTTACCATTTAAAAGATCTCGACCAGAAAGCACGGTGTGGTTAGGAGGCGTTGGAAACTTGGTGCAATAAACCTTCGGGTGTGTATTACTTNTATTACTTGCATCAGTCAATCGAATCATCTTTCACATGGTTTATCCAATAAGTAACCTGTTTTCTGTGTCAACGAATGCACACTATTGATGATTCACTGTCTGATTTTGAACATACCACGCAGCAACCCCCTCCCCTCCGCACCCACCCGAAAAAAATAATGCATGACCAAACTCAGCCGAATTATGTATTTATCAACCACCGCCCCTATCCAAGAACACCAAACACACAAACAACCCATACCATCTTTCACTCATCACAATTATCATCATTATCATCATAATCATCGTACGGCGGAACACAGTGAAGCGACCTTCATTGATCGCTGCCCAACTCACAAGGTAATCGAGAATGTGTAAGAAAGACAGGAATTGAGCCTTTGTTGGGGACGGTGAAAGAAATCGCAACTTCATAGTCAACACTCAGAGTATACAGTGTCTCCAATCAGATAGTTAAGAAAGCTTTTTGAACCCCAAACCGAAAGACGAGAGACGCCTGCTCTACCTAATAGCTCTGTACAATTCTACATGCCTCATCTTCACATCATCTGTTGGCCTCGATGGGGTTTTCTCCCGTTTTTCCTTTTCGATGCACCCGCAAATACCAGACGGATTNCAGTCTATCCTGTCTGGTCCAGACTGCGTAAGTAAGCATAGATGGTCGAAAGCCACCAAGCGATTTGTCTTTCACTCGCAAATTCAAAGTCTCACAACCGTAGAGCAGAACTGCGCATATAGTTGCGCAGTATACGTGACTTTCCAACTTAAGTGAAAGTCAACTATTCGCCACAGATGCTTTAGTCCTACCTATGCTGCTCGTGTCTTAGAGATGTGGACGCTTATCTCCTTTGATGCGTTACCGTCGTTGATCACGTAACTACCCTAGTACGAGAAGTAGTCCACTTTATCTAATTCCCTACCGTCTAGTTTCGCAACAAGCTCAATCGACACCCAGTCTTGTAACATCACCTTGCACTTTGGAGGTGAAAGACAAACCGAAAGGAGTAACAGAACTTGCCAGTCTAGTGCGCCTAGTGCGTCTTCCGCATCCTGCATACAATCAAACAAACAAACAAACAAACGATATCGCCATTGCACTCCAATCCCCACAGCTTTCCCCCAGCTCCCCATATAATACCCACATTTTGGAGACCACTNGAGACCACTAAGAGCATTTTCCAGTATTTCGTCTACGACATACTTCAAAAGCATCTCTTTTTGAAGAATCGAACCCAGTAGATCAAGGAACACAACGACCGTTGGTCGAAATCTGTTGATAACACATCATGTCACGGACCCCCACACGCCTATTAGGGGCACGAATGCCAAAACTAGACCATAGCTTCTCAGATTCATGGGTTCGATTGCAATTAGGAGATAGAAACCCGACTTGTGTCTGAAAAGAAAAACTTTAATTCACATTATCACTGTCTTGGCGGTGGTAAGTGTGTGATCATTCAATTATACTGTATTCGTGTCTGACCGATATATCGTCCAACGCTATACATTGTTCTGTTCTGCCGTTTTGTACCAGTTAGGATGCAGTGACATCTGTCTTGATGTGTAGCCCGAGCTCTGTTGTACTCCATCTTCAAATAACTGCAAACAGTCACGCACTGACTACTTGTTAGTACTTCATTAGACATTGTGTTCTTAAAGCTTAAGATCTCGATTCATAAACACGAGCGAGCAGTGGGTGTGGAACGAGAATCTCGTTACTAATTTCGAGTAACCTTCAGAATTGACCTTCACATGCAGTTCTCACTTCGTTCGGGCACACATACAGAGAAACAAACTCGGGGAGCACTATCGATTGGAGCTACGCTTTCATCAAAGCTCATCCGTGGTACATACGTACCGATTCACCATTCAACATAGCATATCTCGAATGGAAGACACTGTATCACTCAACTCGTACTCTGGGTTGACCGATTTATGTTTGTTTGAATTTCATTTCCGTTAAGTGTTTTTCGGTCAGAGACTGAACTGGGTAGTAAGTAGTGAAGAAACATTGCTAAATATAACCAAATACAAAACTTACTCCGCATCAAGTTGTCCATATTCTTCTGGTCTGTGTACATATTTTCCTGTTGATCATACTGCAGTGGATCTATAAGTTAGCTATTCAACTCTTAGTTGCTCATGAACAGTCAATAAACACTTATTTTGATCCTGATCACGCGGAAGGAAAAGAAATTCTGTAATATCCTAGTCTTACCTGTCTCTCTAGACTGATGCTATTATCGCCTTCTTGACTTACATTAGACCAAGAGATTGATCTGAAATCTATATGTGAACCTTGGAGATGAATATAACAACGGCTATTGCACAGCACATCTGAAAATATGGTTCATTGTTATTCTCGTCTATTATTAAAAATAATGATATTTTCACTTTCTTCGATCCAATATTATTGTACGCTGAACTATTAAGTAACTCAGAGACTGTAGCCGATCGAACACCTCCTGGGAACAAATCGATTGGAAAAAGTCAGGTTGCGATGGTAGATATCAAATCATAAGCTACAAGTCCATAGGTGGGTGATCATGTGACTATCTCTAGAGCGTCCAATACTGTCTGCGACAGGTCATAGCCAGATCAATATTTTCATCTGTATTTTAGAATTAGTTCCATATTCAAAGAACTCACTTTTAGATCGAATAATGATACCAGTGGTTCAAATCAATGTTCCAATTTTCATCAGTGTTCACTGAAAGAGTACCGATATTCCTGTATCTACGCGTCAAATTGATCGGCGATCCAAGTCATATGACGAAATTCATCCCATTGTTTTTGGTCACATTTATAATAGATTCCAGTATGTGACATTCAAATATCTAATGAGGAATGGAGCTAACTAGTCGTTGGATGATTCGTTAATTATTTCAATAAACCACGATCACAGATTTTAAGAAAAACAGATTCACGTGCAAGCGCATTTGCTGTACTTCATCCTCTAGCTTATAATTCACAATCTTTGGTGGGAAAAAGTTCATTGCAAACGGGGGAAAAAGTCGCACAACAGGTCCATGACCAGATGTTGCACCCACTCTGGTCATCACGTATACACATAGGGAGGGAGGATGACTGTACCGTGTGTGTGTGTGTGTGCGGTGATTGGCATCAAATCAATGACAACTAAACTGGCTAATCAAAAGTTTCAACTCCCGGAAAGTTGAATACCTGCAAAATTGTTAATAATTCTTAGAAGTGGTTTCAGTGCTTCGCGGTTTAATTTTGCATCTATGATTAAGAACTCAACGCCCCTTCTCTTGTCTTCATTCACAGGCTCACTTCGTCTGCCCATTCACAGCTCACCTCAAGCACCGAAAGTCTATCTGAACAGATCGATCCGACGGGGCGAGTTCAAGCTGGCGTGTTCCGGCCGGACACGGAGATTTCGTTTGCTGATAGTTTACCGGATCAGTGGAACAGTAGATCCACTCAAACTTCGGAACATCTAGACGAACGGGGTTCAAGCCGTCACTCGCCGTCACCAACACCAAAACCACTATCACGCGACCAACAACACAAACAAAATCTGCAGAACAAAGCAAGACCGGAAACGACTGAGGAGCAGCAGCAGCAGAAACAATCTGATCAGCAGGACCAAATCCACCAACACGAACACTATCATCATCAACCACAACAAGGTTCGCCAACTTCTGCCGGTGGGAGTTCGTCTAGTGTGTACAGTACAGCTAGTTCCTCTCCACCGTGGTCATCAACTTCATTAGACGAGGACGACGAGCAGGACACGCGGCCGGACGACGCAGAAACAGCCATGCCAGACACACCGTGTCCGGGTGCTCATCCGGAACAAAGTGAACTTTTGGAACTTGGGGACAAAAATCGAGGTGCCTGTCTAGTGACCGAATTACGCGTAACAATTCAACGTGACAATACCGGTTACGGTCTTCGAGTTTGTGGGACAAAACCCGTCTCGGTACATAGTGTACGCAAAGGTTAGTGGATAGTTTAACACGGTTAGAAACATATGTATGCATATGTACCTACTATCGTTCATGGAAGTGAGATAATTTTAAACTTTGTCTCCATTTTTTTAATCAAAGAGATGAGTAGTTCCTCCGCAGATGGGGAAGGTCTCTTCTGTATACGAAGGGAATACAAAAAGTTGCCAATTTTGATTTCTCATCATGTATTCCGTGAAAATGTTTAAACATTTGAGACAATTTTCCTTTATCCAATTAAGCCCACTGCGGAATCGCTTGAAGCTCATCACATGCTCAGTGTACTATGGATTTTCCGAAAGAAATGCACTAATCCTAAATAAACTCGTTCTCGATTGTGTTTTGGCCTAAGATTCACTGATACGTTTGTTTTGCATACCTGTGGCTGGACTGATTGATTGATTGGATGATTGATTGATTGATTGAATGATTGATTGATTGATTGATTCATTCATTCATTCATTGATTGATTCATTGATTGATTGTTTGATTGATTGATTGATTGATTGATTGATTATTTGATTGATTGATTGATTGATTGATTGATTGATTGATTGACAGATGCTGCCTCCTACCACATACGCATACACCTAAATCATACAGACTAATCCTATTGCAGTATCGATCAGCTCCAACCAATTAGGTGTTAGCATTGAACTGCCCACGCTGATTGATTCTTTGAATGTTCGAATGCCAACTTGACCGCAATCGGATGTCGTGTGACGCTTCAGCCGTTTGTAGGCCTGCCTGCCTGCTTCCCACGTGTTGCCCTTTTCTGCTTGCTCACTGCCCATGAACCGGCTACATGTGTGCCTACTGCAACAAACGCAGTGCTTAGTTCACTGCGTGCTTATTCGTCTACTTAACCGGGGCACAACAGATACCTTCTTTCTTCGTATAATACAATTATGTGCGCGCATATGCAGTAACCATATATAGGTGGAAAGTAACGTTTAAATAAATATACATTCAAGTCAAGGCAAGTCGACATAGACTTTCTGCATCCCAAGGGTTAGTTTGTAGTAATTTATACGAGAACATGGTGAAGTCATGGGAAACGCGAAGCAGTCTGGAGGGATTAAACAAAATGATGGTACACTGCGTGCAATAAGACGATACTGATGATCGAGAAAACACCAAGTCAAGAGACGACCACCAGACTGGCAATAATCGGTGCCCAGTTTAATAAAATAGTGATCAATGTAGGAGAGAATGCTGTTTCGGTATGTGGTGGTCCGTATGAGAATTAGCTTATAATTGGAGCGGGTACGAGGGTTGAACACAGAGTGAAGAAGTTCACTGGGGAAGCAATGGTCTTCATTGTTCAAAAACCTGTTAGCAATTCTTTCATATGCATCCATAAGTTTGCACACAGTACAATCAACCAGGACTTTTCTAGCAACATCACTAGAGCAGAACAGGATTTTGATGGATCTGGAGATTATTATGAAATATTTTACCTTCAAGTGCGAAAATAAAACAGAGCAAAATGCAGCCAGTGAGGGAGGGTGAATGCGACCGTAAATTTAGAGCAGCAAGCTTCCTGAGCCTGAAAGCATAAAACTTTCACAAGCCCTTCGTTAAACATGGCTGGTTCATAAGAGGTCATGTGATAGAAGCACACCAAGGTATGTAACAGAGTCAGCTTTTGGAATGCTGTAGATGTTACTGACGCGTGTGTTAGCGCGAGGTGCATCTCAGGTTGAAGGGAACATCAATATATTCAGAAACATTAAGCATAGGGTATTGAGGCACAAACCGATTGAACACTCCGTCTAGACTGCCTTGAAGTTACCGGAAAGATACATCGTTGCTGGAGGAGCACACGATCACCAAATCGTTGATGTAGTATTTGATAGAAACAGGCAGGTTGTTTGTGGGCAGGGAAAGGAAGAAAGGAGTTAAAATGGCGCCCTGAAAAAGGCCAGACTTTACTTCAGAAGATGTTAAAGTTTGGCCATTAGATGAGGTAAATTACGTCCTAAAAGAGAAGTCAATTATAGAAAAATGTTAAACAAGTCCGACCCTAAGCCATAATCAGAGAGACTTTGATGATCAAGCGAATCAAACGCGTTGCTCTCTCTGGTCGTAATATAAGTAACTGCATCAAGACTCGAAAGTGAAGGCTCGTGAGCAAACTGAAGAGGATCGTGCTCATCATCCGATTCAACAGCACTCTTTCAAAAACTTTCATCAAGGCTGAGATACAGGCGATCGGTCATTATGTTGAAGAGCTCTTTTGAGGGACTTTTCTTATCCGGGCTAACAAATAGCAATTCGAGATCGTTAAGCAGGATATAGACAAACTGAATACCTTCCACTTCCTCGACGTCAACCTGAAGAAGGGGCCCAATGAAAAGTTCTTCTGTTCTATTTTACGAAATCCAACATGAAACAGCCAATACCTCCATTTTCAAAGTTTCGTTCCAATCAAATTTAAACGAAAATTAGTCCAATGATTTGCTCCAAGAATCTAATGGAGGAGGAACTTAGATTCATCCAATCTACACTCCTCAATAACGGATTCATCGAGAAGAACCTCGTAGAAAAGCCCACAATGCCTAAACCAAGCACGACCAAAAAGAAATAACTATTCTTGCAACTCCCGTTCAAAGGAGATCCGAGTGATTATATACTAATAAGACGTCTGGAGAAAGATAGTGCCACTCTACGTTTGATGTTTACAAGCCAGCCTCAGCTCAGCACAAACCTCAAGGATAAGCTGTCCATCCTCATCTATGATTACGTATTCCTTCACTTGCAAATGTTCGGCAAGTTATGCAGACCGAACGATGAAGCAGTTCTCCCAAAGGATCAGAGAACAAACTGCAAGAAAATAATAACCAGTGCGATTATGGCCCACCTTGTCGATACCGGGCATCAGTTAGACAACGATACATTCAATGTCATCTACAAAGTACTCCAAAACAAATCGAAGCAAGTTCGGCAACGCCCCTTGACCACGGCAGAAGCTGTAGCAATCAAAATCATGAACTCACCACTGTGTAAACAGAAGAAGATGGTTGCCGCACTCCAGTTGCCTCGACCCCAACCAAACCTAAGTGATGACCCGAACCATGACCTCAGTCATGTCATGATGACGCGATATGACGTGACAAATTGCACGTGAAAAAGGGTCACCGAAAATTACAGAATTCAACTTGATCTCCTCCCCTTCGCCCACTGTGCCCATTTTATCTACTCACTCTGATTACACTTGATCGACATTGTTGTATTTTCATACTTAACCTCAATGGACCAATCACATTTATTTCTACATGAGATATAAAAACAAAGACAACTGTAAAGGCCTGAAAACGAAGTTATGAAAACAAATTGAATAACTCATAAATGGGAGTTCCAAAGTGTTCGGTACAGGGTTTTCAGTATTGAAGGGACTGATGAATAAGACCCATCAGCCTTTTTTAACGTAAGCGGCTTGAAACCTCTGAGAACCTCGGTTGAAGAAACAGGGTTGCTATCTTCAGGGGAATTGAGGAAGGACGATAAAGAATTTGAACTAGATAAGTCAGAAAATTTTCTACTTGGTCCTTCCACGTCAAGACAGGAGCTTATATGTGTGCAGCGGAGCTGTTTCAAAGCCGATCACATCTCGCAATAGCTAGTGATCTGGTGAATACGGATGTGTTGACATGTGGTTGGAACAAATTTAAAAATTTGTTTTTTGGTCGTGAGCAAAGGAGAGGGAGGTAAACAGGGATGGCTGATGTAGAAAAATCGTATTCACGCTGAAGGATAAAATAGAGATATAAGACTTAAAATGGGACAGTCGTAGAACGTTGATGAATTTGTTTGCAGAAGTAGGTAAATACAATATTTATTTTTAATGCAAAAGCTGTGATAAGTTAAGTGGTAACGTGGAAATTATTTTCGATATTTTTGTTATAATCGCATAGGATCTTCCCAAAACTGGATTCTCAAAGGATCGTCTCCCGGTAACGCTTTTTCGTCCAGATGGGAACTCCACAGGGAGTGGAGTGAAACATAGCTGGAAGCGTGTAGGAATTCATTTATTATGCGAAAATCATGATGATTTATGGGAAATAGCGGGAACAGGAGAATGCATATATCAAGCGATTGGTTGATTGGATTGCTGTCAAACATCTTGATTGGTTAGCGGCACCAGCCAATCATCTGAGTTCGCCTATCGACGTTCTGATTGCTTGTTCCAGAACAAAGCAGTTTCCAGGGCACATGCTCACTCCTTGACACTTTTTGCTACTGTTGTCCACCGTGTGCGAATTAATTGCATTGGATGTTATTTTCTTGGTCTCCATGTTTTAGCCAGGCCGATGCATGGTCTCGCATCCCATTAGACGACCGCTTGATCATCCTGCCTATACAACTGGTTAAACACACGGTCAAAAAAAGAACGAGTACGTATGAATGTGATGAGGATTAACAATTGATTCACAGAGTTCAACGACAGTGCTAATCGGCTGATGAAAGTTGTCCACAATGGGGCCATGGGAAATCTTAGTGATCGAAGTAGTTATGGATTACAGATCACAAATCACAGTACCAACTGAAGCACAGAATCGCACTAACAATAGTACAGTGGAATCTCTCACCATCGAGACACAGGAAAAAGGTCACAGAAGTAGCGCTTTGTTTATTGAGAAAAATCAGTGAGATTAAATATCAAGTACACCGGAATTTCATTGGTTATATAGGTCTCCACCAATGAACTGCTTGTACTGTTGACGCCATACAGCTTGTATCTGAACCGTACGACTTCTGATTGGTCGGCACGACTGATCTGTGGTTCGTTGTCCAGAAACTGTAACGCATCGCTCCATGGCTGGCGTTATCCCGTAGGCTAAGATCACCACAGGAATGTACAAACGATCATCCTATCTAGAGGTTTTTCATTACATCACTCTTGTAAGCACCTTTTAAATTGTAGATGAATGCATCCCTTTTCAGGTTAATCGTACATCTATTGGTCATTTAGCCCTTTTAGTCTAGCCTTCGGAATGCGCCTCTTCGGATGGACACTCTCTATTTAAGCTTCTGTTCAAGGGATGAAAAAACATCGATAATCTTGAGCTGTTGTTTTGTTACGTAAAGGGAAATTAGAATTTTTTTCATTCAGCATTGTTATTTATTGTTTGATGGATTGATTGATATTTAGATGACATTCGGAAAAATTGATCCGGTATAAGAGTGACTTCTTGAAGACAAATTAACATAAGAAAGAATACACAGGAAATATGAAATATGGAACTCTCCCTTATAACCCCAGAAGTAACGACCGCATATAAACCGTATTGATCGCATTCAAATGCTCTTGGTCCTATTCAGTCAAAGATGCCAAAATCAATATCGAGAAACAGTGCCACTAATCATTATCAAATCACAATATTACTCATACAGTATTCCTCGATCGAAGCACTCGATGAATTATTAATCTGGTCGTTCACGTACACGGAAATGAGAACGATTAAGGGGCCACACAAATGGATCGAAGAAAACGGGATCTACATTGAATACGACCACGCTTCAGCACTGAGAGAGAAAGAGAGCGATGGGCGCAATGTATACCACACACACACACACATAAAAATGTTAGCTATTTCTCACCCGCTCCTCGACGCCAGGTTCATGCAGAAAGGGAAAACTAAAATGTCAGTTAGCACGTTGACCATATCTATCTCATATCATCGTGTGCTCCCTGTCCAAGAGAGAGAGGAGGTAAAAGCGGAAGCGTGTATTCGGTCAGGCTGAATCGGTTCGCACACTCGGACAGAGATGGTGGATGAACAGGGGGGGGGGGGGGGGGAATAAACAACTTTCTGTCTCAGTGATCGACAGATTTCTCAATGTGGTTTGCGTTGCAACCACGCAAAGGAACAGTGAAGTTTGGAAGTTGATGTCGGATCTGACATCGCCTGATGAGGAATTGATCTGTAAACTTCGGTAGGAGAGAAACAGAGTATAATCCGGATCTAATGTAACCAAATAAAAAATTGGACATAACAACGAGAGAGAGAAAAAACAATTAAATGAGTGAGCGGTGTACTTTTTGTGTCAGACTACCATCACTTCAGGTAAAAATTTCACACAATTGGGGTCGCATCATGCTGGGCGTAGACGTGAGGTCAGTCTACTGCATCTGTCCAAATACCTTGATGAAGGGCTTACAATCTTGCATTCTCGGGTTGGACTATTCGCAGATATGCCGTATGAAACAATTTGACGTAGATGCGTGTCGCTTAAATTAATCCGACATCACTCATGCATTTATCAGCAGTATCCGATTGAGATACACGAAATAAATGGCGTCTGACATTTGATATGCTTTCGGATTATTCTACGAGGAAGTTACTGTGATTAGTATGTATTCGTCATTCATACTATTGTGTGATAAACAGTAAACACGATGGGTCACCATCTAGGACCAACTTGTTCAGCACAGGAACAGTAATAGGTAATTAAATTACATTTATCATGTACCGTGTTATGGTTTAGTTTATGCACAGTCACAGATATCAAGGACTCAGTGCCTGAAAGAAAATTTATAATGGTTTTTTTTCGCTAAACTGTTCCCGATCAAATTAACTTCCGCTCACAACATGCCTCGATGCTTTCCCATTGTGTTGAACCTCAGTGGAAGTTGTACAGGGCGAGTGAAACAAACAGTAACAAAATGTGAAGTAGCTGGGAAATTGAATACATCTGACAATCAAGAAATCGGTTGAATTAGAGAGGGGAGCTTGTGCTATTTGTATTTCAAGCTCGCTATGATGAAATCCAATGAACATATGAATATATATGCATTTATCGATCGACCTCGTGCGACATACTAACTTTCATCACATCCGTTCCTCCCAACACTCGGTGTTCTGAGCTTCATTGACAGAAATGAATATAATATTGTCCTACATCGGACGCAATATATCTGGACTAATATTCATTTATGTTTCTGCTTCTATTAGTCGAGTGCCAATTTATCGACTTCGACGACCGTTGTACTTTTATGTTGTCCATCTTCTATTTACCTTGAACTCATTTTTGAACACTGGAGAAAGTCGCTTTTGCACGGAGTCCACAAAGTTGATTGCCATAAAAAATTTGTCAGTTTTTGTTTAATTCATACCAAACATTGGTTATATATATATATGACAGTTTTGTAAACAACGGTGTTGATTGTTGTTTTTGTAGCTCGGGTGGTATAATTTGATGTTCAGTTGTTCACCGATCTTGGCAATTGTGTTGCAAACGTTTCATCACCAATCGAGGTGACATTCTCACTGCAGTAACTGCAGTTACTGGTTAGAATAAACTAGTTGCAGTTTTCATAACCATTATTCATACACTTTCGTTCGCCGGTTTGGGTTGCTATCTTTTGGCCGCCCATTTGGATAAAAGAGCAGAATGAAGATTGGAATATTGAGAGCGGAAGATAAGGAATTCATACAGACTGAGGTTGCAAGAATAATGAATAGATGCATGAGCACCATATCGTTCAGTGTCTGTAACCCCCGGTGACAATGATCTCGGGGTCCCCACCCGGGGAGCTTAACGGGACCTATGTGACCCAAAGTCCTGGTTAGGGTTGTCATGTCCTCATTCCAGGTCTTGGGTTGACGATGACAATGAAATTGTACCCTATATCTCAGAGATCAATCAATTTTCCGTCGTTCATCCATTAATCTTTTCGCAGTTGTGAGTAGCTTTCATGATCAATAACCATACTGACTATTTGATTTAATGGAAATAGAAACTATTTTTGACCTATCGGTAAATTATTGTAGCCTTGGTAGCCTTTCTTGAGCGAATATTTTCATCGCATTTTACTGCATTTTGACCATCAGGTGGAACAGCGGAAAAGGCGGGGATGCGACCAGGTGACCAAATTATTAAAGTGAGTTGGTTAATAAATAGAATAATATTTGTATGACCTCGAACGACTTTTCCCGCAGGAACCAATTTTGCTTAACCTAATAGCCCACAATGTACCCACAATTACCCTAATTACCTTGGCTACTCATGAGTAGTTAAAACATATCTGCCTAACTTTACGGTTCACTAGCTCCACCATGCCAGTGTTCAAGGATATATCCGATGGTTGTTGTCCATATTCACCTATTTGCGATAACGTCCGTAAAGATTGGTATCATTCTCGTAGATCATTAGTGATTCTAATGATTAACTGCTCGATGCCCTCCGAAACTTTGCGACTCAATGTTGCCAAGGAGAAATCTGCCGACACCTAATTTATGGAACAGGAATTGGTAAATTAACGAGGATTGAAGTGAAAATGAATAGGAGAATGGGGAACAAACCAAATGCGAATTCACGATAGCAATCCACAGTCACATAAATAATGTTTCGGTCTTCTTTCTCGATGGCAGTCAGTTTTCTTGTCAGTTTATCAGATTAACGAAGGATGATCAGTGCCAGGTAGAGAGCTCGATCAGGTGGTTACTATAGATCAACTTTTGATCAAATCCTCGATAGATTGAAGCAATTCTCTACCTTCTTTGATTTCCTAATAGTATTGGTAGTTCGAATTGACTTAACCAATTGTACCGAGTTCCTTTTGGGGAGAAATCGTTCTGCTAAATGACGGTATGGACGTTAGAAACTATCCAAAAGGATATACATATATATATGTTGGAATAAGCATAAGTGAACTTCATAGCGGCTCATTAAAACCATGCATAAAACATTTACTCTAATCGGTGGCATATGGACAATGTATTTTTGTGTGTTTTTTTATTTCAAAAGTTCAACAGAAATTTCATATCCCTCTAGCCTATTTCATCATAGAATTCAGTTCACACGGCAGTTGAAAGCAGTCAACAGCTTCGCATTCTGCAAAGTGTTCCTACCGCGACACTCTAATGGATCACATGAGTTGAACATCTGTAGGATACAATTTTGGACCGGACAAAAGAATAATTACCACAGTAGGACACTGGTGCAACGCAATCGGAATCCAAACCGCCGTATCGTGCGTAGCACAACAAAGTTGTGCTCGATGAACTCAAAATCGAACAGCTAACCGAATGTATAGATATCATCTAGTAGGTGTCAGAAGAAAATAAATATAGTGCACAAGTAATTACTTCCGGTTGCAAAGATTCCAGATCACATGCTCACTCCTGATCACGTGAACTGTTGAGCAGCAAGGAAAAAAATAGAACACAGATAGAATGCTCATAACTAACTAGCTGTCTGTATTCGTATTGCTTTGTTTTTCAAAAAAGTGAAAAGCAATAATTTCACGAACCTGATTAACGCTTCTGACAAAACCTGGTCCCATTTTACCGTGAGCTAAATGTTTTTGTTTCTTCAATGCAGGTGAACGGTGAATTGGTCGAGTTTTTGAGTCATGACGAAGTGGTGGCACATATTCGAGGTGAGTCAGTCAGTCAGTGAAACACGTGACCTGTACAGCAATTAACAATCGCATTAGAAGCGCGTGTTTTTATTTTGCAAATGGAGTAATCCATTTTTTCCATGAAAAGTGTACTGGCACCAATTGAAATGAAAGTACCCAAATTTGATATGAAGCCTATGTGGTATACCGTTCACACTGAACCTTAGTAGATAATTTGTAATTAGGTTCTTTTGAAACAATTAAAAGATTTCTATTTTATATCTCCGTCGGTATACTGACAGAATATGTGCGTAGATAATCAGTGGATGTACCGTGTTTTCACTGCAATTCAGAACTGATGTTGTACTTGGTGCGCTTGTTGATGCTTCGTTCGTCGACCCCCTTCAATTCGCTGTGTGTGTGTTTATACTGCACCTCGTCTACACAACGAAGCCTAGGGTGACAAAGGTGAATGTATGCGGTCTGCAATCCCTAGGTGATCTGAGCGTCATTCGCTCTGGTTGAGTTCCCCTGTTGGATGACACAACCGGGGTGGTGGTGCCGTGCGTTCACGAGATGAGTTGGTTGAGAAAATACTAACCCGGCTATAGTCCGCGCCCAGTGACACGAGTGTATTATTTTCCAAACAAGGTTTCACGATGATCCTGAAAATCTTTAACGGCCTTCACCCATTCAGAACACCGTTAATCAACAATCAATCTGGTTTACACGCCCGGGGGGGGGAGACATTCCTAAATGAAGAGCTCATAGTGTGCTCCTTGCAGACATCGAAACTATCGTTCGTTGCAGCCTTCCGCATTTCACAGAAGATCGCCCATTGCCAGAGAGATAGTGGTATTTACCAAAGTGGATCTACGGTCACCCGAGTGCGGTGCACGAAACTCCGATGACGTTGCAATCGTGTTGAAACTGAAACGATAAATTTATGTTCAGAATCACATGTACACCAACCGAGGGAATGAATGGTAGTATTTGTTGGTTACTATAGAATGAGTCTGGGCCTGGCTGCTTAAAACGTCCGAGTGAGAACAGTGGAAACGCATTCTTCTCAATCGCAAAGTCACCGTTTTTATTAGGAAGACAAACCCTGAAGTTGATTTTAGACCCTGTCATCAGAATAGGCTTTGCAGTATTTGGGTTATGGTTCCTGTCTACAAACTCCTCTACCTGACCACTTTTGTCAAGAAGTTATTTAGTTAGACTATCTCGTTTGATATGGTTTTATCGATGCAAGCTTTCTAGGCTCTATTGAATAGGGTGAAATGAAGACAGTCCTTTACTCCAAATGACAGCACCGTTCCAAAAGTCATGAACTGATCAGTCCAAGGTGACTGGTGGCAAGGGATCTTAGCATGCCTCCGTTTCTCAGAGAGTATAAGTTTTCTTATCATACTGGAACGAACGAGGTGAGCCTGACGTGTTGCGTTAGTCGCACATCAAACAATTGTTTACTCCCCAGAACAAGTACCCCGCAAAACCTGGTTATCATGTTCTTCTTTGAGTTGATGCAAAAATGAAGAAATATTACGGTGGAAAACTTGATCTCAACATGTGGCTCCCGATTATCGGAACTTCTGCTGCTTGAGACCCTTGACAACTGTTCGTGGCGGTTTATTGGATTTTCATACATGAAGAAGACACTTGTGGCGAAATGTCAACTTTTCTTTGCATCATCTCGATCGATAACATCGAACCATGAGACGCATACATGGGTCGGTAAATTTTGGTGGACGGATGTTTACATATGGACAATGGCTTTGGTCTTATGGCAATGGATAAAGGGGACCCTCGCATTCCGAACCACTTCACCTAATCATACTCCCCCAGTCTATAATTATTAGTTCATTATCAGAAAAACATATCAAGTTGAGTTTGACTTACAACGCAAAATAATACTCTCAGTTGAGCGTTTTCCCCACGGAATCTCTTCGATTCTGGTTGATTAATCCTCATTGATTTGCAAAACATATCACGTTCATTGTCCACCGAATTTTAGATATAATGATTGACTTGTGCTAAGGTATTGCTTGAACGATGATAGATGGTGTTCATGCTCCTCTCAACTCGACTTAACTTATCGTCCATATTGATTGGAAAATATTGAAGACAACTCGTGGTTGAGCAGTACACGCTGAGCGAAAATGTCAGTTTTCGTGTTCAACTACTTATCAATGATGCAAGTAATAAGAAAATATAATGGAATTCACTCTTCATTGCTTGAACCTCGCTTGACATTTTTCCTTATTCTGGTGCAGCAAAACCCACAGTATGTTTCGTATTACGAAGGCAAGAATACGCTCATTCGACGGAATCAGGAACGCGTCTCCAGAGTCGTATACTGACTGCGAACGAGGACCCCGTCTTGCGTAGTCGATCACGTCGCTATTTTCACAAACGTCGGTCCAATCGGGACTCAGATGGCAAGAGTATGGAAAACACAAATTCAGATAGACGACGAAGTGGACGTTCGAAACCAGTAGTGAGCGCTTATGAACCACTTCAAAGCTTGCATCCAACCTCCAACCTTCTGACAAGAGACTCTGCAAGCGATTCGGCCGGTCCTTATACGGACGAAGAATACTTGGCTGGTGACGAGGAGACAATAGATGTAAGTATCCCTGGGCGGGAAAGGGTTCTATAACTCTACATGTGTGTGTGTTTATCCACGCAGTTCTATTAGAGAAACTCCCATTCTGTACCTGATGACCTTGAAGCACGGGCCAGAGACCATTCAATGAAAGCATTTGCTCAGCCTATCAACAGGCAAACGTCTATGCGAAGCTACAAACCAGTAACATTGCATGATCCCGTTCTATTTTGATTTCGCCCCAGAAATGTCCCATTCTTATTCTTGTTCAGCAACAGTGCAATATCGCCCACAACCCACATCAATTCATCGTCCTAAGTTGCTCAAATTCCTTGTGTGTTAGCACTCTCCGTCTTTCCCATTTCTTCCTCTATCCGCTCCTCCCAACCCAACCCCGTCCCTCCTTACTGTGTGCTTGTCTTTCTTCGTCTGTCCATGTGTGTATGTCTGTGATTATTCGTTCGCCTGTACTAGAGACCTGCACGAGTCTATTACTGGCTTTGTGCTCGTTCATGATGTCAATAGCAATGAGTGCTCATCACGACTGGGATGCATGCCAGAACTGTCTTCCATTTGTGGCTCTCACACTCGCACGCACATGCACACACATACACCAAAACGTCCAATCCGTGTTGTGTGCTCATGCGTGTGAGTGTGTGTGTGATTCCGTACTTGCGTGTCCATTTTGTGCGTGTTTGTGGGACTCGTGCTGGTCAACTTCATGTGCACTCGAGTCGATAAACCGAATACACGAATAGATGGACGTGTACCCCTTGCAACGCCAAACGTAATGGGTGACCGAATGAATCGCTCAATTTAAAATTTGCTGGGTTTGCAAAACTGTAGTCGATTGACATAATTCGAAGCAGGGGATAACACCTTAAAGAAGATATGTTTTGTAAATATGGTCTGTCATGAGAAATAGATCTGTAATAGTTTGTGTTGTGAAACAAATTGAGTACCTTTGGTTTGTGCTGAAGTTTGATTTGAAGATAGAAAGACAGACAGACAGACAGACAGACAGACAGACAGACAGACAGACAGACAGAAATTGAATGGGTAAAAACTAAGCCTTGAGAAATATTCTGAAATAATTTACTTAATAGCCCACTGACGGCTCACACAGCTGCACACTTTAGAGAATAAACAGACATAGGGATTGCGAAATCAAAAGTATTGTGCTTTTAAGTTCTGAATAACCCCATAAGTAGTCTCCATTCGATTGGATTCTGATGCTCCTTCATTATACAAACAGCACACAAATAGCCATATATTTGCAACTAAAATTGTACTAGCACAGATATTTCCCCGTGCTTAGCAGTTCATTTTTGAGAAAAAAACAGTATGCATCAAAGGGAATCTTCATGGTAACAATCCTAGAAAGTGCGGGCACCTCGGTTCAAACACACCTACAAGCCAGCACGCAGTTTAGTAGCATAATAAATGTTCGGTTAATGTCAATCGTACAGTTTCAACTCACTACTAATAGTGGCAGTAGTATTGGTAGTAGCATTTTGATTGCTCGAAAGAGCAATGGTGACATCTTAATCAAATTTGATCAAATACGTGTTGTGGGTCAATAGTAAACTGATATTGATTTTTTTACACGGGGATTATCGAGCATAGTGTTGATTGGTTTCACGTAAAAACTTTTCTCCTGAAAACATTGAAATTCCATTAGCTCTATGTGCCAACAGGGAAATAAATTTCATCATACAGACAGTTCGTCATATTATCACCCTCTCCCTCCCGTTTTCTTAGTAGTTCGTGCAATTTTCAAAATGGTCTTCCTTTAGGTCAACGCAAGCATTTAGACAACTGGCGAGATAAGTTACACGTTTACGTTGGCAGTGCTGCCCTGTATACATATATATCTATGGACGTAATTTAGTAATTCACGAAATCAGCTAATTTTCTTGCATTAGTTACTTTGTTCTCCGTCAGTGGTTCGACGAAGGTACAGAAAAATTCAAAATCAAAAAATGAGCGGTTGGGTTAAACGAAAATAGTTCACGTTAGCACATCAAATTCTTTTTCAACTGGGTAATTGAATTTGATCAGTGCATTGCTTTAAAAAGTTCAGTGGACATTCAGTGATTAGATCGTTTTTAGGGGGTTCAAGCTAGTGGATAAGATCCAGTACGTCCCATTATAATATAAGAGTAACGGAGGTTAAGTCCTCTTCTACTTTACCATCATCAAGTGCAAGTTATAAATACCCTGACTGATCCGATAGTTCCAACTGGATCATATTTACTTATCGCTTCCCGGATCGTTTTCATTGCTGTTCCCAATCAGAAATCTAGTCCTCGTGGTCGTGAATCGGTCATAAGCATGGAGATCCATTTTTTGGTGTGTTGCGACAGACTGACTTTGACTCTCTTGAAGCGCAACACAAAACAGCAAGAGTGAAACTTTAGAAACGGACAAACGGACCGATTTTGATTTATCGATAAATAGATCTGTATTTTCACTATGTATATTTCATACAGTGGATTTTCTAGCTTAATAAAATATTCTGGGTTAATTGTTTTTCCTTTCATTGGTTAATAGTAGTTTTTATTCTCTCGTCTGTGTGTGAACCCCCTCTCGGACTCGGACTCATGAATCACCATAAATGCGAGCTACATATTATACTCCTAAATCGGTACCTTCTGATGCCGTAGATCACGTGACCAGAAAGTGATGTCATTCATGACGCACCGTCAAAATGGTTTCATCAAACAGCTGCCCACCAAATTCCCATTCCATGCTTCACATATTGCATATGTGGGCTTTATAGTCAACTCTTCTCGTATTGGTCGACAGAATTGGAATCAATAACCTTGAAAAAACTAGTCGTTTAACCAGGTGGCTTTCGCGATATGATTCACTCACTTGAACCGATGTTGGTTCACATAGAAGACAATGAATGCCCCATAACCCGAATAGTGAGCGGAATCAAACTTCCCAAATTCGCGAACCAGAATAGTTTTCTATCATGATTTTTATTTTCTCCATAATTCTAAATAGATCAGATTAGTTTTGGACCTCGATATACAGTTCTCGTAGGAGCGATTGGTTACTGCTGATTAATTAAATTGCCGTATTTAAAACAGATAGAGAAACTTTATTACACTCACTAAAATGTCTTCATCAGGCACCCCATTGCTGGTAAATGGGAAGAGTCATTCTTATGTGTTGCATAGGTGTGCTTATGCAGTGGTAAAACGATCATCGTGTGTGATGAGTGAGGCCAGCAAAACAATGGTAATCAAGTTATCAATTTTTGCAACAAACAATCCCGTGCTGGTAACAGACAATTCAAACAGATTCCCAAGTTTCCAAAGTCAGTGAAACAAAACCGCGTGATTTTGTCGGTAGCGGACAACAACTGTTTTGGTCGTACGAGTCTTAGAACAATGTCTTACAACAAAATGTGAATTTCTGGTTTCTCTCAATCCAGCGGGTTTCTCTCTCTCTGGTTGGAGTTGGATTTCCCTGTGGGATCAACTGATATAGCTTTTAGCCAGGTTGAGGGAACAGCTGGCTCCTGAGGGTGTTCAATAGCTTGCAGTAAAAAGACAAACACGGACACTCAGAAGCTGAAACAAAAATGTGACAAAATGTTATAACAACAGTAATCGTTCATTCCATTTGATATGCAATACGGTTGCATGGTCAATCACATGTTAACGGTCATTGATTCACTTCAGTAGTATATTGGTCGCTTATAAATACTACCGAGTAACCCAGTGCGAAGATCTCATGTTTTGCGTATGAAGAATAGACAAATTGCAATTCATCTTTGTTTGCGGGATTCCTCAAAATACTTACTTCCATCAGCAAGCCATTTTTGAGGACAAAACCCTTATATTCCACGAGGGTTAAGCTCCAAGGCGAACAATTCTTACGGCTATTAAATGTTGACCTAGCGACAGTGAAGTGAAATAAAATTAAAATAAGCTTACTTTTAAGAACTTGTTCCCTAAAGTAGTATATTCGTAGCCGTTATCATCGGTATTACCATCATACTACTCAGCATGTATATATATATATATATGCCTGAAAGTAAACGTGGTTAGCAAACCATAAAATGTTCCCGTAACACCTCAAGTAGAAAAATGCACCGTAACAGAGTATTCCACTGTTCTTCTAGATCGAATTTCATGAGGGAAAAGAGTTCAGTCTAATAGAACCCGGGTTAATACAAAAGTGAAATATTGGGACAGTCCTGGGCACGAGCAGTGTTGAACCTAAGCCGGCCGACTGAGACAGAAAGAGAGAAGAAAGTTCGCACAAACAAAAAATCCGCATCGTTCGTGTAGTAACGTGTATGTGGAATGATACACGCGTTCACAATAGCCCATTCAGATTAGTGTGACATTCCACCAAGTCACTTAGTTACACTGCTCGAGAAACAGACTAAAGCTGAGCCGAAGTTGGACGGAATTATTGTTGTCCGGGGAGAGGCATAAAGGCCCTCATTGTCCATAGTTCTCTATTTTCTCTTATCTCGTCTAACCAACTAATAAACTAAGCTGTTAATTCTAAATTCGAGCCGTGTATAAACAGCATCGTCACCAGCAATTCCCGTTTGTATTATTTCCACTCCGGATTAGTGTGCCTCTTCGTCCATGTATGTGTGTGTGTGTGTGTCTAAATGAATAACAAAGTAGCCACCACGTCCACATGACTCACAGCAATAAGCGACTATTAATGCTCGGTTAGAGCACTGGTCGGTTCGAGCTCAACACTGAACACCCTAGACAATATTTTCTCTGCATTCACAACATACTATCCAAACATTTTGATATTATACCCAGTTCCTCCAAAACTGGAGTTGTAGTTGAAGCCACCGTTTTCTGTATAGAACCTATGGTTGAAAGTCATCAAAGGATTAACTTCTCAGAGAGATGTAAATCTCTTTTTTGTTTGTTTTCTCATATTTACATACACATATTGCTAAGATCCCGCAACTAGCCTGTTTCTATTAAGCAAATGGGTATGTGTTGAGCAGTAGTTAAGAGGATTCCCATAGTCACGAGCATCTACTCCACAGTTATTGCAACGGGCAACCTATGCACCAAGACTTAGAGTGGGTCCATCTAGTGACAGCCACTTAAACCGTCCAGTTGTGGATGTTGTGTTCGAACACTTGCTGGGACTACCCTTAGTAGAACTTATGTTCACCGCTTCACGCACTCGGTCTACCTATCCAGTGCAGTAGTACTCAATGAAGTATTTTATAACAATAAGCGATAGAATCGATTCGTTTGGTCTGTGGAGCGGGAAGATGACATTTTTACTGGGCAAAAATAAATAAATAAATAACGACCGGGATAACCGTTGGCACGCTGCAGGAGATTATTCCATGATACCAATCTTGAGTGAGTACCAGCAAAGATTGCACACATACACACTGCAGACATACCGAGTCATTTTTGTATACGCGATCCAGTGGTAGAGGATCAAACGTGTGATTGACGGTGGGGGGTACTGTGTGAACAGTAAGTGGATTACCTAAAGGCCTGAAAGTCATACCTGATTGTCCCGTCTTCACAAATTCTGTGGATCAAAAACACATTCATTGTGGAGAGAATCCCGCGGAATATATGATGGCTGAAGACACAAAACACAACTTCTCATAACCTCTTTTTAGAAAGACGCCGTTTCTGGAAACAAAAATAGCATTTTGATGTAACTTTGATTCCGGGACTGACATAAAGAAGAATCATATTTCACTATGATGTCTGACTAACGAACAAAAAGTACTGTACTTTCCATTACAAATAAGACTGAAACCATAAGTTCAGTCAGCCTGTGAGACATAAATTGCAGTGATTTGGTTATCGCCGGGGCAACAGAAATGAATGATGAGAAACCAAAAACGCACTCACGTTACGAGATGCCTTTTTCTGCTATTCACCCCATAGCGAAGTCAACCATACTCATAGGAGTGTAGTAAAGAAAACCAACTAGTTTCCAAGCTGCGTTTCTCAATGATCAAACCAAAAAATACTGTTAGTGTAGACTCACCGTACATCGGGTATACTTATTTTGGTATCTCATCCCATTGAGTACCCTCGATATCCCAAATACAATCAATCAGAAGTTCCTTGAAGGACGTGGGTGTGAAGTCAAGACAAGAGAAAATGGATACTTAATCAACACTTCAAAAATACGACAACTGCATTTAACCTACCGTACAATGATGCCCTCTCGGTTGCTTTGGCTAAAGTGAATGCCTGCCATGGACATTCGACAATATATTAGAAGTCATAAACCGGAAGGCAGTCTTTGAGATCTCATTGGTCGTGATGGGTAGTCGGTCAATGGTGTCTAGCATTCTTGGAAGTGTTGACGTGTACCCGGAAGTCTCGTCCACCTAGGAGATGAAAACTTGCAGTTAGTCCTCCGTCGATCTGGTGCAGAGAAAAAACGCTCACATGCATTTTGAGATGACTGGAAAGTGCGTTTCGCTAATTCACAGATTGCAAAAAACATTGTGCGTATTCCACGAAAGCAGCAACTTATAACCTGAACCAGAAGTTCCTGAGTGTGATGAAACTTTCATTCTAAGTTAAATTGAATATTTTTGTTCTCATTGAATGAATGTACCTATTAGTTAAATCACCAATACCGATGTCAAAACCATATGACCACACATATCCATGAGGAGTATAAAAACAGCATCACATTAATCTTCATCATCATCATCATCATCATCATCCGGGTCATCATCATCACTATCCTCATCCGCGTCATCATCATCAATATCAGCATCATCATCATCACCATCCGAGTCATTATCATCATCATCATCCGAGTCATCCGAGTCATCATCATCATCATCATCATCATCATCATCATCATCATCATCATCCGACTCATCATCATCACCTTAATCAACATCATCATTGTCATCATCATCATCATCCGAGTCATCCGAGTCATCATCATTAGCAACAGCAGCATCATGAACATTAGGACCGCCATTTATTGCCTAAAACACGTACCTGTGCATGCGGTCGCACAATGAAAATGCAGGAGTTACTGTTAAAAGCAAATACGGTCGAGGTCATCCGACATCCACTGTGTGAATGTTCGGAATGTACGATCCTATAACTGGTATCCATACGAATAATTTTGAGTCCTTTTGGAGTCACATCAAAGGGCGATTAAAAAACGTTCCTGGGTTGGTGGGTGATGTCATATGGGAGCATTTGCATGAGTTACAGTGCCGCATGTGCTTCAGTTTTTCCGTACAAACGTTTAATAATGACACGGACACTTAGTTACAA